GTCCTCGGCAGTACATAGACTCACAGAGAACTACTTCTGCAAGGGATCTTCTCGTCCAACCCCCTGCCTGAGGCCAGATCACCCCCATTCAAAAGATCCTATACAACTCTACTGTCAAGACTATTAGCAAGACTACTGTCAAGCCTGATGCAATACAAAGCATAACCGCCCAACCTCTGTAAAGCTGGGGGACCATAGCAGCCAATGTCCTGCTGCTGCAGAAGTGGTTCAAGTATGCTTGAGAGAGCCATGGAAGAGGGCCTTGGAGAGATCCAGGATGATGTCCTGTGTCCTGAACCTAGTAGAAAATCTAATGTTACATCATGCACCATCAAGAAGCAGAGACTGGTGGAGTTCCTTGAGCAGTTTTCCACATCAGTTTAAAATCTTGAAAAAAAGTTCTCCATCTTCTAGACCATTTTTCCTAATTTTAAGCATTTCTACCGAGTATCTCAGCATTTCAGAAGATAGCAGGATCTACTGCCTCTAGTGTCTATGATAAAGCATCACTCTACACAGCCAGATCAGCATTTTGCAGGGTACCTTGAGTAAGGGGGATTGTACAGCTCTACTGCCCAAGAAGCAGCCAGGGAAGGCAAAATTGTTACACGTCACAGCTAACTCCAATCCATTCATGATCTTAAAAAACAGCAAGTTACTTCCCCACCCTACTGGAGTCATTACTTTGGCAGGTATATTGTGAGGGCACAGCAAGGGCTGTTCCCATTTCTCCACTCTTGTCCTTAAGCATCTGTTGTGCAGGACAAGCAGCCTACTGGGATTGCTAGGAGCCATTAGTCAAGGGGGAGTAGAAGATTAAATTAAAAGGTTGCTGTACAATCTTGTGTCTTGTTGGTAAGACTACCAAGGTCTCCAAGACCTTGCCAGGCAGTGCTAGGAGAAAGTTAGGGTGATCAGGACTGATTGTGAACAGGTTCTGAAAGAGATCATGGGCACAGGTTGCCTGCAATAGGACAAGGGTGCACCCATGTATGCAGAAAACCCCTCTTAGTCTGTTCCGGTCTGCTTCTCTGTGCGACTGACTGGAGTACACAACATGCTGTTAGGGAATTACAGCGGCATTTCTATCACCAGAAGGCACTGGGACAGGCTGCCAGTCTTGCTGGAATGGAAAGAGTTTTTGCAATTGCAGAAAGACAGGAAGCAATATCTTTTTCATCACATCACGTGTAACAAGAGGTTCCATCTCCATGGGACCTGTTTATTACATGCTTGAGCAGTTTTTGAAATATCATCATTCAGCTGTACACAAACCTGACTGATGAGCGATATCATGCTGACCTCTGCTTATAGGACCCAAGAGCCAGCCTCCCTACCTGCTCATTCCCATTCATTTGAGAGAGTCATTCAGAAGCTCAAGTCAAAACTGTTTCTCTTTAGCAAACAGGGTCCTGGGCTCGATTCTGGTCTCTGAGGTGTAAACCAGGAGTTACCAATTATGCCAATTACCCATGTGACATCATTGTAGAATCAGGCCATGCATGTGGGTGTGGGTTCCAGCCAATTAAACACTGGTTGACAACACCAGTCCTGTAAGCAGCAAACTGAAGCTGGCAGCTAAAGAAAGTAGTTGGCAGATAAGGTGATGTGCATTGCTAACATTGGACAAATGATGTTTTAATGAAAGCCAGGCCTTCCCTCCAGTTTCGAGCGCTGGTCACTTGAACGGGCTTTGGGTCAAGCTTTAGTCATTTTCCATCACCTATCACACTCGCAGCCCTCCAGAAGCCAGAACAGTGCGACTCGGATCTAAAAAAGTAGCTGTAACATCAGGAAAACAAAGCTTTTCATTCAGATTCTTTTATTTATGACCTCAACACATGGATAATACCAGATGGGCCCTTACAAGGAAGAGAGAGTAGAGTACAATGCAGTCTTGGGAGGGTTTCAGTACAACAGCTGTGATTCATTGCCTTTTTCTAAAAAGGATAACAGTTTAACATGGAAAAACAAAGGGGGCAAAGTCTCACATAAAATGGATTTAATAAGAAATATATTAATTAAATGCCAAAATAATCCCAATGTTTCTGATGACATTTTTTTGGTCAGGGTTACAGGCAGCAGAAACAGAATTTTGAATGTATTTAAGCCTGGGATTTTCAAAACCAAGAGGATTTGGATGGTCAACTCCTGCTAATCTGTAATGGGAACTGGGTGTGCAAATCCTTAAAGTGGCTTTGGTAACTTCAGTCTTTGTACTCGAGATGTGGCAATAAGTAGATTTTTTTTAACTCTAAATAATTGATGTTTATGTGCAAGGGAGTTAAATCCACCACTTGTTTATTGCAGAAGAGTTAAAGTACTTGTGTGCTTCTTTTTTCAGAACAGTTCATGTTTTCTGTCCCTCCAGCGCTGCAAGCATTAAATGTTTGACCTGACCTTTTCATGCATGAAAAGGTCTTGAAATTACGCAGCCTTAGGATGCAAGGGAGAGGTAGGCGTCTGTGTCAAGGTAGGCATCTGGGAACAGACCAAGGTTCAATGAGCTGCAGGAATGACACAAGGAAGAACCATCGAGTCCCCTTCAGTTCACCAAAGTTATTCTGAATGCTTAGCACTACAGTCACATTAAAGACTGCAGCACTTCCTAAATAGGCAACAAACCAGGCCCCATGTGACCTAGCTGAATAGGAATGGCTTTGTTTCTACCGTTTTCCTCATATTACTGGGCAATCTATTCCTGCTTCACCTGGTGACCTTTTTAACTTAAAGTTTAGCAGACTTTTAATCTTTATTCCCTAATAAGTGATCCTTAGTAGCCTGTACAAACTCACATTTCAGGGAAGAACATTAGTCTTTGACTGAGCTGTGCTGTGCGAGGCTGTCCACATCTCAGAGCAGCTCCTCCAAATTCTGCTACCTTCACACTGATGCAATCCAGAACAGATTCCAAGGCGCTGGCTTCAAGAGGCAGTGGACTGATTTTAACTCTAAAGCCACCGGAGTATTGCTAATGTAGGGCTAGACTTCAATGCAGCCCTCTGTTCAGAGTGGTGTCTAAGCCAGGGACAGCACTGGGAAGCACTGCATCTTTAAGGTACCACCTGAAGTCTAAATGGCCCCTGCTTTCTGTACCTACAGTAAAGCAGACAAAACCAACACCCTACCCATTCCTACCCAGGACAGGAAGAAGGAGGTGCACTACCTTATTTCTGGATAATTCATCACATGCAGAGGCAAAGGAGGATCCCAGTTCCATCTTGCATGTCTGCATGGGCATGAATCTCATCTAAGCCCTAATGATCGTTTCCCCCTAACCAGTGAACAAAGCCCAGTCTACTTGCCCTGGGCATGTCTTCACCCATTCTGTGTGTAGGTAGTGTTCACTAGGCCAGGACTGTGTCTAGTGCAGGGAATGTGAATTAAGTGTCAATAAAGCATTTCTCTTTGGCTCTTGACAGCTGTGAAGCCCTAGCTGGAGGAATCAAGCTGCCCTTTATCAGAGTGTTTTGGAAAGGAAGTGGCTGGTTTGTGAGAAATGTCAGGCTGCGTGCACAGGTGATTGAAGACCTCTCTATACCTAAAGAAGGAATGCAGTACAGCCTGAAAGTGCCAGGAAAGGCATCCCCATTAATGTAAAACCCCACGCTTCAGGGGAGCTGCCCATTTGCTACTGTCATCAACTAGGGTGTGATTATTAGCAGTGATGAAGGCTCAGTCTCGAAAATACCTTTCTACCAGAACTTGGATTGGACTTACCTTTCTTATTTCACAGTTAATTTACACAAAAGGTCTTCCTGGACACATCTGGATCTTTTCCATTGCTCTGTTTAAACTGATTTTCAGACCCCTTTTCTTCCTACTGCATTTTTAAGGCCATTAACACAATGAGCAGTCAGAGCTTCCTAGACTCAGAATGTGAATAGTAACTTTAAAAAAACATCTTGTGCAAGGTTGGAGCTTGGAAAAAGGACAGCTTTTTCCTGATGCAAGTCTCTCCTTTACTTACCCCAGCCAGAAACAGCCTCTATCCACTCCTTAACACTGCTCCAACCCCACCCCTGTCATTCTAGCCAAACCAGACCACTGGAGCACAAGCCTTTTATAGTATTTTGGGGAATCATTTAATTCATGACAGCTGTCCCAACCCTCCTATCCTGACAATCCCACACTCAGGGCATGCAGCTGTGGTCCTTCCTTTCCTAACAGAGACAGTGGTAACCCTTTCCCTGCCAATCCAAGGGCTATAAACACCAGGACAGGGAGAAAATGAATGTTTTGGGGGTTTTTAAGTAAGCTTGAGCAGCTTAATGTTATCTAGGCTACAACTAAAACCATTTGCAGTTCCCAGTAGAAACTATTGCCGAATTTTGATGTAACCCTATAGAAGGATTTTTAAAACATCAGATTATTTGCCTGTCAGCTTCTGCTGCAATTTTCAAATGTCCTGAATTTCTTCCAGGTTCCTCAAGGGTGGTAAGTTTGGTGGAGTTATATCAGCACAGGATTGGTGCAAAAGAATGGCACACTGGGCCCACAACTTCCTCTCACTTTGATCAGCGAGCTTTAGAGGTGATTTCAGTGGCCCCAGTAGTAGTTAAGTTAGTGAGGGAGGAAATTTCATGGCAACATGAAGGCACTGCCTCTAATGGCAGCGCAACAGGGACAACAGAGCTGTGTGCAGATGACTGGACTACTCAGTCTTCACTCCCTTGTGCTGATGGATGTGGGTATCTATCCAAAGGTTAACTGAGACTCACTGGTGGGTGGGTGTCCTCCAACATGCCTGGAGACATTAGGCCTGTGCAACCTCTATAGCTATGTCTGCACTGAGAGCTAGGGTTAGCCTTTATACTAGGGTCAACCTCAAGGTCATCTTCAGACCAACCAGACAACTAGCTACTCTGCAAAACTCTGGGCTCAACCCTTGGTGGTAGCTCAGCCTAATACTGGAAGCTCTGCAGAACATCTGGGCATGAAGCTGATTTTGCTTCCAGTCAGCTCTTAAATTTTCCCCTTTGTGTGCTTAGAACTGGCCTGTACACAGGCCTCAAACAACAGGAAGTCTGAGCAGCAGTCCCACAAGTACATGTTATTGCATTTTGATGTTCCCACCTTCCTTTCCTGTTTCTAAGTGGAGACATGACTGGAAGGAGAGGAAAGCTGTCCACAGGCCTATTGTTAAAAGCACTCTGGGGTGCATCTTATTGCTGTAATATAAGAAGCACTATGCAGGCAGCTTGGGTATAGGTTTAATGTAGACCGAGAAGGATGGCTCATGTGGCTCCGGTTGGTTGTGGATGACTTCAAGATCAACCCAAATGCCCTATATCTTCCTCTAGTACTGACCGACAAGGCACCATCGCTTTCACTGGAATCCCTCCAGATATAATTGCAGCACAAAGAGCACACAGTGGGATGCCAGAACAAGGATTCACCCTTTCTAAAATGTAGGGCTGGATTCTGGTCTTACTTTCACGCATGTAACTCAAGGAAGTCCGTGGCGTTAAGTGGGTGTGAGACAAAGCAGCAGAGTAATTAGGCTTTCCTGATTAAAGTAGCACACAACATAATTCAAGCCTGAGTTTGGACTCTGCTAGGTGCGAGTTTGCATCGCAAGCTCCTGCATGTAGTTTGGCACACATGGAATTTGGCACGCAGCATCTGAGAGCCCTAACGCTGAAACCGTCTGCAGCCCTTCCCTCCAGGCTGAGAACAGCAAACTAGAAGTATGTGAAACACACCCTCCCTGGACTGTTGCATTCATTCCCCATCTGGATTTATTCACGCACTGCAAGATGTATTTTTAAAAGACCAAGCCCTGCAAAGGTTGTAATAAACACAGGCTTTCTTAAAGTGATCACAGAGCAAGATGCCCCTTCCAAATGTGATCCTGGGGAATAAAAGAATGCTAAATGAGGACAGAGAAGTGATCTGCTTTGATGGCCGTTAAGTGCCCAGCCTGCTACAGATCACTTCTTTGATCACTGCACACCTCTAAACGTTGACGTCATCAATGTGTTTAAGAGGTGGACAAGGGCTATCATTTACTATAATTTCTGTTTTTAAATAGAGCAGGAATGTACTTCCCTATTCCCATATTAGTAGGCACATAGGAAGATGGACAATATTTTCATTACATTCTAGCTCAGTGTAGAAGTCAATTCTGATAGTATGTCTTGTGTATTTGTGTTTTGCAAGTCCCATGGAAGGCATTTAGTTTCTTGTAAAGTGGTTGGCTTATTAGCTGTTATCGTTCCAAAACATGATGTCCAAACTCTGTGGATGAGACGGTCTTTGAAGAGAAGGAAGAAAAAGAATTGATTGAGTATCAAGAGCCTGATTCCAAGCGCACAAATGCTAATAAGTCCATGTATGTTAGAGGAATTACACCAGTGTTAAATCAGTACAAGATCAAATATCAAAATCAGATTGTTGGCCTTGGAGAGAAATGAAGAGAAAATAGAGGGCTTGTTGTAAGCTCCCACAGAGGCCCACTTAGACTATTTCAAAGCCTGCTTTTGAGAGATTTCCACCCCACTTATCAACTCAGACGAAAAAAATCTAAGACATTTGACAGGCTGGTCAAAAGAAAATCTCTGATGCTACTCAAGGTACATCAAGATGAACAAAAACTTGCCCTCTAGCTAGTGTAACTGATGATTCATTTAATATATATATTTTTTCATTTAGAAACATATAAAATATTTACAGTAAGTATCTGACATGTGTACCCAACACTTTCAGAAGTGCTGTGACTAAGAGGGGTATATTCTGGCCAGGTTTTCAAATGTGTATGTGTAAATGTGGACAGGAAAGCAGTTCCATTTGTACCTGAACATATGCACCCATGTGTGCAATGTACAAGAGCACCGAAATTCAAAGGCAGGGAAACCAAGGACGTGCAAACTGGGACATGCACTTTTGAAAATCAGGCCATTAGTTCCATGCTACAGATCCTAAGACCCGTAGCAGACTTTATTGAAGTATAATATTTCTCAGGAGGTAAGTCTGGTGCATGAGAGAACTGACAGCAGCCATTGGGAAACCCTAGAGAGAACACCTGTTGGATGTACAAGCACATACCATGGATGCTTCTGAATATTAGCCTGAAAACTGCTGGGTCCTGCTTTGTATATAAAAATAAAATCCTTTTTCCTGTGATGCTGAGTTCTTTGGGGAAAACTAAACTGCAGTGTTAGGTTCCAGCAAATACAAACATATATATTTTACTTTAGGCAGATGACTTCAGCAAGACAATTTAATGTGTGAATAAAATTATGACTACATGTAATGTGTGCAGGCAAGCTGTGCTGAGCCTCAATATAGTTTAGTTTGTGGTGCCCCACCCAGAAAAGCAAGCAGGTTGATAAAATGGTCCACATTGACCAATTAATTCTCTGACAGTCAACTTTCTGCAGATAGGAATTTAGTTGGAATATAATGGCTAAGAAACCTTTTTAATTCCTCCAATGATATATTTGTCAAAGAAAGCTTGCATATTTCTCCTGTCCTACTTAGTTCTACAATCAGATCAATATATATACTAGAGACAGAAATCTAAGTGATAAACTTTCTACTCATGCAGATAGCCCCAGCAGAAGGAGGCTATTTTTCAAGTGCTGGGTAATTCAGTGGATTAATGCACTTTAGGAGCTCGACTGAATGTTCATGCATGTCTCAGGTGGAGATGAATCAAGTAGGCTCACCCCAGCCCCATCTGTGCATTATGAAACCAGAACACAACATAGGGATCAATGGCTCAAAAGAGGCTCTGGCTTTGAATAGTAGTTTTGGCCAATTGGGGCTAAAATACCTTTGGCTAAGCCATGTAAAATGTAAGAAGCTTGCACAGTTTCTTTCTGCAATTAGGGCTGTGCGAGGCTTTGGACAGAGCTTCGGATCCAGAGAAGCTTCAGATGCTTTGGGGTCTGAAGCAGCATATCTGGGTCGAGGTGCTGGCCTCGTTCGGCTTCCCGAAGCGCTTCGGAGCCGCCTTGGAGATGCGGCCATGTGGTATAATGGGGAAACAATAAAATATCTATATCTTTGTTGTTTTTTGTCCAATATGGATGAAATTTTCAGGGGTGATAGACTTTGCAGAGAGCATGAAGTCTGCCAAGTTTCAAGGAGGTCCATGCAGGGGTTTGGGGGGAACTGCAGCCCAAATTCTTGAAAGCAAAACTCATGTCACGTCTATGTGTTATAACACAGGGCGTAAAAACTGCAGGGCTGGTAGCTCTTACTGAGGCCACAAAGCCTGCCAAGTTTCAAGAAGATCGGTGCAGGGGTTTGGGCGGAACTGCACTTCAAGCTGAGGACAAGCAACACTCGTGCCATGGGTGACACTGCGTGCACCCATGGTGCAGTGGGGTGAGAGCTGCAGGGATGGTGGCCCCTGCTGTGATGCCTGCCAGCTGTGGAGAAGATTGGTTCAGGGGGGTCCTGGGGCCCTGCACCCCTAGCTGCTGACAGATAAAACTCATGCCATGGGTGACACTGCGTGTGATAAGGCGCAGCGGGGTGACAGATGCAGGGATGGTGGCTCCTGTTGTGGCCACAATGCCTGCCAGCTGTCGAGGAGATTGGTGCAGGGGAGTTCTGGGGCCCTGTACCCCTAGCTGCTGACAGGCAAAACTCATGCCATGGGTGCTTGTGGGACTGACGGTGTCTGTCTTGGGGCAGTTGATTGTATTGATTCTTGTACCCCCAAAACCCCTGCACCAATCTTCTTGAAACTTGGCAGGGTCTGTTGCCTCACCAGGGGCCACCGCCTCTGCAGTTTTCACCCCCCGCCCCCCGTGGTGTAACACACAGCTGTGACATGAGTTTGGCTTTCAAGAATTTGGGGTGCAGTTCCCTCGAAACCCCTCCACCAATCATCTTGAACCTTGACAGTTTTCATGCTCTCAGCAGAGGTTACCATCCCTGCATGTTTCATCCAAATTGGACAAAAAGCAATGAAGTTATAGATATTTCACTGATTGCCCCGTTATACCCTATGGCCAGATCTCCGAAGCAGCTCTGGAGCTTCAGAGCCGCTTCGGCCAAATCGAGACG